TGTCCAGCCCTTCAGGCACGAAACCACGGGGCCACAAAGGATGTTCGGCAGCACAGCCCCCCTACTATCGCACCTTACAACCCCATCCCATCCTCCTCCTCTTTCTGCCCCTAGCTAGCAGCCACCCACAGTGCCCTTCCTCGCTTCACAGCGGCTCTCATTCTCCTGCTCATTACCACGTTCACGCGCGGTGCTACCACCGGTCCTAGGCATTTCCTGGGCAAAGCAGATTTCTCTGAACTCGGTTCCCCCCTAGGTGTTGGGCCTGAAACCTCTTCCCTCCCCCTCCTAAAAACAACGCTCACAAGCTTTCATTTTTGTTATGACCACTTTGAGCTTACTTCAGCAGAGCTGCTCTCCAGCTGGGCTTGCACAGCCCTTTCTGAAGGTGGATGGTAGCTGTAGAAAAGAGACACCTTTTTAACCAGAGTGGCTTAAAAGCTGATGCTGCTGTGCTATTGACACTGCTGGCCTCTGGCCGGGCCCGGGCAGAGCTGCAGCTCAAGGGACGTCCCACACCTCCGCACGCAGCCCTTCTGCTGCTGGGAGCCCTGGCACGCTTCATTCCTGCCTGAGCATACCTGGGCAAAGAAACCCTGAACAGGTGACAGTGGTATCCACCTGGCCTCACCCTTTAATTCCAGTTTTTCACCAGGAGACCCTGAAACACAGCAGCAATGACCTTGCAGCAAGACAGGTAGATGTTACCCACAATGTGCTCCTGGAAGCACAGATGCATTTGCACAGATGCTGCCAACTGCAAGGGCATCAGATAGGTACGTAATTAAACTTTGTAGTGCTACCATCAGGTCCAGACCCAGCTCTTTGCTTTCCTTAAACCATTCCTTTTCTATCCAGACATAAGCAAAAAGGCATCATTCAAATCATGAAACGCCCAGAGCTTTTCTCCTCAAGCAAGGATTTAGGGATAGTAATTGCTCTCATTTATACAGAGATGTTTGGTGCCCAGGATTACTTTTGGAGAGCTCAGAGCACATGCATTACAGGCCATTGCTCCTTGCGTCCTTGTTTCATTCCAGGTGACTAGCCTAGCAGTTGGGGGATCCTTGTCCTCAGCTGCTGAGAACATCCTAAAACAGTAAGGAGGCAGCCCAGGTTATCCTCGCCCAGCAGCTAGAAGGCAACGTGGGTTCTCTGTTGCTCACAACGATGAGGAGGTTGTTACACCAGAGCAGGACTTAGACACACACTAAGGGGACCTGTGTTGAGGGGGCAGCTGCTCCCCATGTGCCACGCTGATGGTGAATTATCTTTGCACTCCTGCAGAGCAACAGTTTTACCTGGCTGCACCCAAATGTAGGCAAAGCCAGATGCCAAGAGTTCATCTGCACAGTGCGTTTCAAGTGACTGTGAGCTTTGGTGAAGCCATACAGAAGTGGATACACACCAAAAACAACAAACCAAATATTCGGGAAAGTGAACACAGGTTGAACTAAGCAGGGCAGCAGTGCACAGCTTGCTGTGTCATCAGTTACAACTACAGGGCAAAGCTTTGAGGAGGACAAATGCCTCAAGTCAAAACAAGAGCTAGAAGAAGAAACATTGCTCTATGTGCAAAGAAAGGTCCTTATGCTACCCATGAAGTTCTTGAGATGACTCAGGGTCATCCATTCAGCAGCAAGCCCATCTTCATTTGGTGATGCAAGTTCCAGTTTGCCCATAACAGCTGGAGCCAAGGACCAGGAAAGAGCTACCTTCCCACCATCGCTCTCCTGCCAGCACTGCTCCAGGCTGATGCAAGGCAGACTCCCAGACAGAGTGAGCCCCGCTCAGAGGCCAGCCCTTCTGGTCTGGCCCCAAAATAGCGTGATGGATCAGGAAACAAAGTGAGTGGCTTCATTCTGACATGAGCCTGAAAAACCTGTTCATATGAAGCACATGGAAGTAGCAGATGAGTTCAATTCATTTGCAGTTTCCCTAACCAGTGCTGTATTTTAATCAGAAATGTTCTGGGGCAGGACTAAACATCTTCAATGGTATCAGGCTAACACTTAATCTTGGAAGTGCTGCAGCTTCTTCTACAGGGAAAGCAACTCCATGGCTAAGGAGGGGAAGAAATCAAGGCACCTTAGCTAGAGACTGATTCAAGAAAAGGAGAGGCAAGCTTCACATTGTACTTATGTTTCTATGGCATAAAACATCCACAAGGGCTGAGCACAATATAATTCATCTTTGAACTGTGGGGCTCATGTTGAGCATGCTCTCAGTTCAAGCATTAAATCTGAGGGTCATTAGTTAGTGTATTTAAACCAGTCTCATGTAAACATAACACTCTAGCCTCAGCCCAGCTTGTTTGCATAGGTAAGATTAGAGTCTGTTACTTACCAAATCACAGGAACTTCTCTCCATGTATCTGAAAGATAGGGGTATTCCAGGGCATTTGCTTCTTATCACCTGGTTTTAGTGGAAAATTTAATCCCATTAAGTACACAATTTGAACTACTGAATCCTGGCATGGTCAGATTTCTACACCCAGGACACTGCCTTGGTTCCAAACAAGTTCAGAAATGCAGTTTCCTCCAGGCCTTCCTCTGGCAGCACTGTGAGCTGTGGCACACAGCCATCAGTGTGGAGCAAGACACAACTGACTACTCAAGACGACTTGACCTCTAGACCCAGAGCAGCCAAAGCAGACAACGCCAGGTAGCTCAGTGGAGACCCTAAGAGCACCTGGCATGGCAAGACTTACCTTCACACTTGTTGCTCAGGACAGGGTCAGAGCACACACACAGGTACTGTATAAGTACTAAGAGCAGCTAAGAATGGCCTCCGTTCTCCATGACTTCATGCGGTGTAAGGTTAGGTAAGGGGTTAGGTATACAGATAATTATAGATATAAATACAGATTTTTCAGGACCAAGCAAGTTGGAGCACCACTTCGCTGCAGCCTTTCGCACAGCAATAAGCAACTGTTGGAAGATGAAAGGCAAAGATGCTGCCCCTCCCTCTAAGTTGATTTACGTTTACAACCCCACAGGGCATGCCCTGAGGTCAGCCACATGCATGAAGCACAAGCATCTCCAGGTTCACAGAACAGCCTCAACTGATAGACACAAGTCTTTTAAGATATTTGCATTAGCCTTGCAAGTCAGCACACCTCAGACCCGAAACACAAGGACTGGCCATTATCTGGAAGGCTGACCATCCAACCCGCTTTGGCAGTAAGAACAAAGCCAGTATGTTTGGAAAGCATTTTCAAACTTTATTTACAACTGTCACAGTGACAAAAATGTAGTTTGAAAAAAATGCTAGCTTCTCCCTGAGGCTCAAAAAAGAATTACAGAAATATAGAATGTATATCATACAACAGGAGGAGTTTTACTGGAGTGCTTTGTTCTTTAGATACGTTCAACAACAAATAGAAATATACACAATACTTTCAAAAAAAGGATGCAGACAGAAATATGCAAGTCTTTAGGGCAGACAGCAGGTCTGAAGTCCAAGGATTGCCATCTCATTGCTGCCCACATGGTAATATCTTTCACATACAGCTTTGACTTGGTGGTGCAGATGGTAGAGACCAATAGAGAGTAACACCTAGAAATAAGACAACTGGCTGGTATGCAGGTGTACAAGCTCATTCCAGTAAGACAGCAAGACTAGAACAAGTGTTACAGATACAACAGCTGAATCCATCGCTAGAGAAAATGGTATCACCACATCACGACCATTTGGTGATCAACTGTCCACCAAGATGGGCAGGGAACATGTATGTATAACCAGGTCTGCGGTGCTGGACCAGAGACCAGCTGCAGTGTAGGAACACTGAATTTCTCCTGCTTTGTGCTAACTCATCTCCAAACTCCTATCTGTCTGAAACAGTTATGCAGAGCTGATAAATTATTGCCATTATGTTTAAACACAAGCAAGACAAGACTAAAACAATCCTGCCAATATGTTAAAAGCAGTTCCCAACCCCCACCAGCGTTTAACTACTCATGAGGTATTAAAAATACAAATACACACATGTCCAAATAGATTTTAAAAATGGAACCGGTTATAAGCAAAGGGGGGTGGCATTGGGTTTATTATGAAAGTTTGGTTAAGGCCTTGACATTTTTTTTTCTCTTCCATGACCCCAAATTTGGTTTAGGTGGTAACTGTTCTCATCCTGTCCCCAAGATCGACTGGCTCCCAAGCTGGTCCCCAAAGGTGTGAGATCATTACTTTCCAGGAAAGCAGCGGGTTACCCTGTCTGGCAGCAGACTGGCCTCCTCCCCAAACAGAGACAGATGACTTCTCCTTGGAGCAGGATATGGCGAAGAGGACACAACCACACACTGCACTTCATTAAACACCCATGAACATTTCACCCTTGCCATGAAGCAGAAACACATCTTGTCTCAAGACACCCGGGCTAGTCCTGTCCCTGCAAGCCCCCTTCTCCCACTGGTGGTCCACACTAGATCTGGTGTTTCGTCTTTGGATTACCTCCAGGTCTGGCAGTACTCCCCACCACAGCCTGTCCTGCCCTGCCAGGGCTCTGAGGACGCCCTGCAGTGCAAAGCTGGAGGAGATCCCCCACCCCAGCCCTCACAAGCCCATTGACCAGTGAGTTAGAGACATGAAACCCTATGGCCTCAAGGACACCAAGGTAAGGAGGCGTAATCCCCAGCCCCTGGCTTTGGGCACTGTACAAGATGAGACCAACCATAGCAGCCTCAGCAAACAGGAGAAAAAAATCCGAGGTGTTCAAACCTACACAAGCTCTTGCTGCAGACAGAAGCATCTTTACATCTGATGTGCATTACCTCATGCAACCACCTGCAAGATAAACTAGGGCCTTGCAGTAGAGATGACAAGCAGCAGCCTAACATTATCCTGCAAATACAGCTGTTCAGCATTGAAGGGTCTAAAGGCAAAGAGAGGGGGAGAAAACAGCTTTGGGAAAAGTGGCTGGAAAACAGGCGCAAGAGCAAGAAACCCAACTACTCCTACGGACGCTCACGTTACCCTAGGAGGAGCTGAACCGGGGAGAGCTACAGGCCCCTCGTCAGTAGAGCATTTAGCCATTCTTTGCTACGGACACCCTTCCACCCCCCGACACACAAAATGGAAGCTGTAAGAAAGGCAAATCTGAGAGATGACGGCTCTGTTCTCACGCTTTTAGCTGGAGGCAGCTCCCGGCCAAACGCTGCCGCCTCTGACTTTCCTCCCCCTCCCCAAGCTCCCCCCTCCAGCGGTCCTCGCGTGGTCACCCTTTGCCATGTGCTTGGAATTTCACTGCTGCCTCCGCCTCGGAAAAATACAGATAGTGATCTCGAGAACAGCAAACATTTCTCTGCGTTACTTCCTTCCTTCCTCAGGAGGTCTGGTGACACCGAGGGCTTCAGTTCTCAATACAGAGAATACAAAAAAACTAAGATCTCGCAGGTGCAAAATTGAACTTGTCTTTTTTTTTTAAAAAGACTTTCAAAAGAAGTGTGGCTCTTCCTTCAGAAGGGTGCAGTCCCTTGCCTTTCCTCAGATACCATTTATTGCTCCTTGTTGTCCTTCTTTGCATCTTCACAGTTTTCTTCCTCCTCTTCCTCCTCCTCCTGCACGAGGAACTCTTCGGGTGGCCATCTCAGCTCACCGCTCTCCACGTCACCCTCCGTTGGCTCCACCACGATTGAGGGCAGGCGGTCCTTCAGCTTACAGTAACGGTCGAAGTCTGAGGGATCAGGGAAGATCTGAAAGAGCCAAGAAACAGTCTGTGAGAGGGGCTGCATTCAAGCAGTCTTAGCCAAAACCCAGCTCTCGAGACACTTGGGTCTTCAGGGCAGACTAGGCTGGACGCAGAGTAAACCACGGAGTGACAGGAAGACTCTTGAACTCCTAAATAAGCTTCTCTAATCTGAGTATTGGAAATCAGCGCTGCCCAAGAGGCTTCCAAAGCACATGCTTGCTTGGATAGTGCTCAAAGAGGCATCTGCCCTTTCGGATATTTATCCAAACGCCTCACCCCCACTGCTTTTGCATTAATGCTCATGAGTTTGCACACTGAGCTATCTCAATCAGAGAATCTGAGAGCTCATTTCCTGCTGCTGGTCAAGCTACACACAAGAACAGGCTTGTGCTCCAGGCTCTGCTGCTAGAACAGAGAGGAGGCATGTGGCAACCCAGTGCTAGAGCGGTCCAGACCCTTGCAGCAAGGGCCTGCATCTGGTATCACTCCAGGGCCACAGTACCAGAACAAAAGAGAAGTTCAACTGCATTTCAGAGATAATTTTGGCAGTGTCCTGCATGCTACAGCTACCATGCATCAGCAGTAAAACTCAGCAGGAGGATGCTCATTTTGTGGAAGGGTTGGAGACTGGCCCATATTTCCTAGGGCAGGAGGTGCTGGTGGCGTAGTCAGCAAGTATGTACCCTGGTGCAAAGAATACGAGGACCCCCTTATCTCCAGCCCCACAAGGTGCACCGAGCAGTACCCTACCCCTTCCCTCCCACCCATAGCTCACCACATGGGTACACAGCAGCAGCATCAGGGCCTAAACTTGCCAGCAGCGCCGCTGGGATGCATGCTTTGATCCTACTAGGAACCAAGGCAAAGCCACAGGTACAGGAAAAACTGCCAGTGCAGCGTTAGCAGGTCTGCATGACTGAATTGCAGCGTGAACAGAAAAGGTTGCTGTTACTTATAGGGATGCCCTACTCGGGGAACAGCTTCAAACCCCAGCTCATCCAGAAGAGAACTGCTGGGTGACAAGAACCAGTTGTCATATCAGATGCCCTGGTTGGTAACCAGAAGATTAAACAATTACCACCTGTTTATTTTTAAAAAATTTTTATCAGAGCACCCATTTCACATTACAGTCACATTTAAACACCCCAAAGAAGATAATGACAAAATAGTTTTTCCCCTCCAGGTTGTAGATGAGGTGAGGAGTCAGGCACTGCACTTTGAACACCAGCTGCATTCAAGCAAGCTGTCAGAGCATCCTTGCAGGGAACAGCACTGTAGACCTCAGACAGGCACAGTGCTCACGGGTGGCTCAGTTTGAGAGCAAGATCTCATCTGCTTTGATCTTTGTGGTTCCATTTACAAAAGCAGGTTCTCCATCCAGGAGCCCTGAGCATTAACCACAAAGCATCATACTCCTCATGCCAGTCATGCAGGCACCCACCACCTTGGGAAATCCTGGCCCAAACCCCAAAATGAAGCATCATCCTATCAACAACTTCTTCTTACCAACCCGAGAAAGCCATCAGGTTGCTACTTAATGCAAAGTCAGGCAAGGTAACTTTGGGAGGGGGTGCTTGGGCAAGCAACTCGGTGTGAAGGTAACACACAACAGGAGGGCTCTTTGCAGCCATCTGGTCCTGGGGACAGTTGTGCAGGACCCCAGCTCCCACTACGGCACCCACCATCCATATGCTTTCCAAGTACACCAGACTGAGGTCTTTGAACACAGCCACGTTAACATGGGCACTGCAGTATGAGCTACTTGCTATTAGTCACTCCCAGCACAAGTGAGACAGTAACTGTTTCTTGGAGCTTTGCGGCTTCTGCTTGGCCAAACAAAGGCAGTTTCAGACACACGGTGCACTACTGGAAGTACAGGCAGTGGCTCTTAAGCATCCACTTGTTATCTAAACTCAGGATAAGAAAAAAATACCCTTGACATTACATGGTTTAGAAGGTTGCAATGGAAAAAGAAGTGTGGTTCAGGAGGTTACATAAGCTGAAAATGTCATGAAAATAGCCTCCTGTGCAAGAAAAATAGGAGTATAATAATTAAACTAACCTTTGGCTGCTATCATTTTAAGCACATTAGGTCAAATTGGAGCAATTTCTTTGAAAATAGCCTGCCAGATTTTTTTTCCAGAAACTAAGTAGTAGTCATTTCCTTACAAACAAATATCCCCGAAGTGTGGTGTGCAGCTTTTTTAATAAAAAAAACCCTAGCACAATCTTATCTCAAACAGCTGCAGGACAGGCCGAACCCAAGAAGGTCAGGATTTTTTCCACTAAGTCATGCTTTTTAATCGTCGAGGCAGCACGAAGTGAGATGTTGCAACTGCACTTTCAAGGGGTGTGGACAGTCAATGGAAAAAATACACAAAGGCAGATTTCCTCGCATGCGATGAGCAGGGTGACACGGCAGGCTGAGCACAGGGACCAAAAGAAAAAGGGTTTCAGATTAAGACTCTGTTTACACATCTGGGGAAGCCGGGTGGAAAAATAACCCCAACCAGCTTCCCCACTCACTCCAAAATAAGCTGTGTTGCCAAGCTCTTTATAAAAAGATAAGCAAGCACCAGCTTTCTGCTGTCCCACACCAGTAATGTCATGCTGCATTTGTTGGTCCCATATGCCTAATCTGGTCCCACTCCAGATTTAGACAATGGGAAGAAAAAAAAAAACCAACTCTCAAACTTGCAGCAAGGTCCCCGCCAGGAATACAGCAGCTCAGCTCTGACCTGCGAGCTCTGCACCCTTTTGCACAGCAGCCAGGACAGCTTGTCTAGCAAAACCTGCCTACGAGCCCTTCTGCTCGTGTCACTTGGCTCAGCCATGTGGGAGGGAGACTTTGCATCTCCCCACCACACAAAGAGCACAGCAGCAACGGGCTAACTTCTCCCCCTCATTCATCAGAGGGAGCCACGTTGCACACAGCTGAAGCAGATGCCTACTTCTGGCTGATCTGGTCACTTGATGAGGGACAAATGACAACCACCAACTGGTTGTGAAGGCTACCTAAAAGCAAGTTTAGCAGCAATTCAAAGGTATCTTCCTCCACCTTACTTGCATGACACAGCACGAGGGACTGCAATTGCTTCTGCAGAGCCCCCCCGCTTCTGTAGCTGAGCCCCAACTCCCAGCCCACAAAGAGACACATCCAACACCTTTAGAGCCCACACAGGACACGTATATTGCTTCTTACGCTACTCAACATAGCTTCTTGCTCACAGTAAGACTAATTTTCACAGGTCTCTCCAGATTATGTTTTGGGAACTGCTCTCCTCATACAAATCAGCACATACAAATCGACCGAACTCTTGCCTTGCAGCTAGAAAAGGCAGTGAAAAGCAGAACTTGAAATTAAAGCCTGAAATGATTTTAGAAAGATCATGTTTGCCTCTGTTTCAGATGATCTAGCTCTACTATCCTTGAATGAAGTCTTGGCAACAAGAATGGAAAGTTTTCATTGCCCTGGGGAGGCTCATACCCTCTCTCAGCATTCACAGGGATGGAGAAACACCAAAAGCAGGAGAGATGTCAGACAATTAAGAGCATTAGCTCAGAGCTACCATAATCCAAGTGACACTTGTAAATTTAAAACAACTTCCACATGTCTACTCCATACCAACACCCATAGTTAAAATGTTTGTCTCCCCTCCCATGGGGCTGAAAACTATTTCAATTATATTACAGGGAGACTAAGGTAATGAGATCTTTCCAAATTAAGTTACTGTTTTGGGGGAAAGCTTTGCTTCATTGGAATGCTATACAAGACTGGAAAGTCTGCACTGAGAGGCATTCCACTTCAGGTATAGGATGCATCCCGATGTACGCATATCACTCATCCTCCCAGTACTAAACAGCTAAGGTTTGTGCCTCTTCAGCTGTATCATGTCAATATTCCAAATCAGCATTTAAGTTCTTGAAATAAAACTTTACTGCCTTGAGAAGCATGGCAAGCTCATTTCAGGAAATATTTAAATCAGCTCTCAGTGTCCTCTTCGGAGGAATTTTTCAGCTATAAGAAGCAGTGCTAACACACACATTTACTCATACAGTAGTCATGACTCGAAATTGAGCTCCATCTAGTATGCACACAGCAGCCTGTGACTCAGGTTTATGAACTGTGACAACTCCCCATTCACAGACAGATTGCCCTATCTTGGGGGACAGTGGCTGGGGAACTTCATACAGCATAAAAATTTTCCAGAGTAACAAGGCATCAAGTAGGGAGGAAAAAACATGCACTGAGATGTTCTGATTAGCTGCTGTCTTCAGTTTGCATTTCAGTGGAACACTTTTTTGCATAGCATAGCTGCGAACATGATTAGTTTTGGCTCCATTTATCCCATATCCTGCTTCTGCCCTCATTTAAGGTCCCAGAACCTGGAATACACATTGACTCAGCCTATACTCTAGTAACCATGCATCGGATGTGCTATGTGAACAAGTTATCCTAAACTCACTTGCTATCACCACTTTTTTGCAGCCCAGTCTCAACATCTTCCGCAGTAGCAAGCGCCAGCTCTTAATAGAGGACTTCCCCTGTACAGACATCAAGGCTGTACAGACATGAAGTACCTTGCAAGCAAACAAGACAATCATGGCAGAAACTCAATTTCCACCCTTTGCCATCAGCCCCTGGGTCAGTAGCATGTTGGTCCCTCAGTTTAGTTGGTGGGATGCAGCAGATGCAGCCCAAACCCCTCAGCACCAAGCATCACGGCTTCCTAAGAAAGCCAGTGCTTCACTGGTGCTGGTGAAGAGGCGTTGCCTTCACAAAAAATTATTTCCCCACCAAAACAGATGACCCAAGCTTTCGCCATAGACACTGGATGGAGCGTTAAGCCTATTTACCTAAATTCAGTCAGTCTGACGTGATTCACAGCTAGCTGTGGCTGTGATTAACCTCGACAGATCCCAGCATGATGCGATCATGACTTAAAGAGCTCAAGCTCCCCATGACAACCAAACCCCAGCTGATGGCATCAGGCAAGCTCAGCCTCCGGATGCCAATCTCCTAAAAGGGAGCCTAGGGTCCCACAGGACCAGCGAGCCGGCCAGACAGCCAATCTGCAGCCAAGTACACCGCTCAGGACACAGCATTTGCTCAAAATAAACACTTTGGGCATCAAAGTGTTTTCAGTTGTGCTCAGAGCCCACTCCACTTCCAAGAAGCAAGGCAGGATCCAGGTCAAGGCACTGTTTTGACAACAGCTCCGCGAAATGATTAGTTCAGCCTCGGTTTCAGCAGCATCATTCGTGCTGCTGTGAGACGGCATCAGAGGACAAGGTGGCAGAGTGCTGATGAGGCTTTTCGGAGAACGTGTATATCTAGGGGCTGGAAAATAGCAAATAGTACAGTAGCCCCGACTGGCAGTGAAAAAGGCCCGGCTCGCTGGAGACTGCGAGGCAGGAAGCGCACGAAGCCCTCCATAGGCACATCTGTTTGTAGCAGGGGCATCTTGAGCCATCAGCTGCATTTCAACACGTTTTTTGTTTAGTAAGTCCCATGGGAATTATGGGACATCTATTAAAGATCCAGAAATAGCTCTTCACTGCAGGCACAAGACCCAGCATGACATCATCTCTTCAGCTGCATCTTCTGTTTTGTCTGTGCCACCCTGCTCTGAGACTCATGCCCCGATTTCACCATTCACTTCTGCTCCGGCCCTTTAAATCTGTTGGCTGAACCATCTTCAGGGGGCTCAGAGAGCAGCTTTCCATCACAAATACAGTAATAAAACTGCTTCACATAGAAAGGTTTCAAAATTAGCACGTGAGCTCACAAGCATCGTGTGTTAACTGGAAAAAGGCATTTCTATGCCGAGAAAGCACATTTTACAAGCGAAGCCACAAATTACTAAACCCACACAGGCAACTCAGTTATCACTGATATGACTTCTGCAGTCTGAGTTTTCACATCATTGCTTAAAGAGCAGCGATGGCCAGCCCACCGACCGCCCAGAAGCTTCACCAGTGAGGTGCATGCTTTCAGCTGATGTCTAGACAGACAGATACTCCAGAGCATGAGCAGAGGGCAAGGGGGTGGAGGAGGCCAAAGGAAAAAGTCAACAAGCCAAGTTCCCTCCATAACCAGCGAGACAGACAGGAGCCCTGAAGTTCAGTGAACTCCATGGGACAGAGGAATCAGATTGCTGAAGTTTATACTCTGTATGAGTTTGTTTCCTCAGCTTATTTCCAAGTAAAGGCAAAAATACTTTGAAACAGTACTGTTGGTTGGACAAGTCTGTCTGCAGCAAACACTGATGTGCTTGACAGTTCCAGCAAAGCTGCTGTACCATCTCCCCTGGTCCAGACAGTTTCATGCCTGCATCTGGTGGGAGAAGCAGCCCCCAGGCTCCTGGCTAGGATCCTACAGACCAACTCCCAGGCAGTCCTCGCTCTACACAGCCCAAAGGGGGACATTTTAAACCTCATTTTGAGGTCATCTCTGCAGTAAAATAAATACAAGTTCTACTACTAGAACAAGAGAAACTTTTGAAGCTAAAAGCTTGCCTCTCTCAGTTCTGGCTCCACTTTTTTCTTGCCTCTCAGCGCCAGCCAAGGGCTGTTCCACTCACTCGTGAGTGCCCAGCTCTGCAGATGAGTGGAGGAAGATGTTGCAGCGTAGAACAACAAGCCTCAGTGTAGGAGCAGTCATGCTCCATTAGCCCTGTCTAGTTTTAAGTTATTGCACTACAGCCCTCAGACTAGCATACAATTTTCCATGTACCAAACTCTCTCCATCAGCAAGATGAAGCACAAAGTGCCAAAGTCTGAGGTAGAACAAAGAGTTCACGGTGCGATCTGTATCAGATTTGTCCTTGCTATTCCAACTTGATTTTTCAATCCTTTAAGGATGCTTTCAGCTTACCTTGATGTACACTGTGACATTCTCAGCCTAGCAGCCAGAGGAGGAAGGCTGGAGCCTGCTCCCCAATCCTCTTTACACTAACCTGATTTAGAGGCAGACCTCATACACAGCCCACACACCACTCGTGCCCCATCAGGATCTTCCATGTCAACACCTCAACCCTTTCTGTCATCAGTTCAGCTGACAACAAAGTACCAGCAGGCAGCTCCCAGCTCTTGCAGGCATTTGAAAAAAGTCATCTATGACTAGACCACTACAGAGGAGAGATCCAGGATGCATAAACCCTGCATAGATATGAGTCGTCAGCATTTATGACTCACACCCCTTCAGGTTCAGATGATCCAACTCAAAACCAAACAGGCCTGTTCCCCAGTTGGCCCAAGCAGACTTATCAAGGTCATGAGCACTTGGGGAAAAACCTCACTGAAGCAATCATTAGAAGAAGCAGGGCACCTAGATTCTGCCTCTCGCTGGAAAATTTGGATAGGTAGAAGCATTTGACCTGACCGGGTTAAGCCTCTTCATATGGTGACCCATAAAGACAACGGAACATCCCAGGCAGGCTAGTTTGATTGCTTCAGGTTCATAACCATTCTCATTGCTGTACACTCCCTCTATAGGAGGGGAAAGAGAGTCCCTAAGCTTTCCACTAACTCAAGCACTGAAGCACAGCACAGCTATTTCCACACACAGGCAATAAACCAAACAACTTGTCCTATCCAGATCCAGAATTCTGACAAAAAAGCAACGCATCCCCTTTTCCTCCCACAGCTTTGGCTTCTGCTGGAGGCCTCAGCTGTAGCCCAAAGTTCAGTTGATTTCATGCTTCAGTGCACTGTTACTGCCTTGTAGCTCATTTTTCAGACATAAATATGCAAGCATACAACAGCACACCTCATTTGAATGCACGCTAAGAGCAACTGCCTCTGTGCAGGTTGTGTAACATCTGCAAAGGAAGAACCCTGCATCAGGATCTGCCATTAAGAGTCACCCGATGCATGGACCAGATGCAAGTCATCTGCGTGCACTCAGCGCCTCTGTTAAATCTCATCAACAAGTCTCCTGGAAGAGTGGGAAAACATGGATCTAGTAGGTAGGCTAAGATGCACAACTTGTCCTTTGATTAACTATAAGCCAGGAAATGAAAGGGATATTGAGACTAAAGGATTAAGGCTCAAGCTAGTTTCTAAGACCACCTCTTCACCCCGGTCATTGATCTAGAGGTTGATAGCTAATTACATTGTTCACAACTTTCAGAACAAATGCAGCTCATGCCTTCAGGTACCGGTTTCCCCAGTGACATTTCAAGGTTTGTTTAGGCTGTCCCTGGCCTCACTGAAGCTGTTAACCCACTCAAACAGGCCCACCAGTCAGGAAAACCAAGAAATAGATTAAAAAATTTAAGCGCATTATAAACACGACCCTCCTGCTCTAGGCAGATGATTTGTATGCTGCGTTACAAAGAGATCCCAGAGTCCTCTCAGCCCGGCAAGTGGGGCGAATCCTTCTTTAACGCATCTCCCCACCTCCCACTGAGCCCCCACAAGCGCTGAATGAGCGGGGGCTCGATGGCTTCAGAAAAAACCAAGTCCTTTGCCAGTCCGGTCTGATACCAAGTGATATTTCAGACAACCAGCTCCTGCCAAGCAAGCATTCCAGTCTGTTGACTAGTTCTCACTACAGCAAGACCTGCTATTAGGTCAGGCTATGGAAAGGTACATTAGACTGAGTTTGCAGTCCAGCCCAGGCAATTCCTTAGGGGATTACTGCCCAAGCAGCCAGCAAAGCACTTACCTGATACGACAAGCCATCCTTGCGGGGGCTTAGCCCGATCTCATCCATAGTTGGGGTGTTCATCATCACTTCAGTCATTTCAGCTGATCTCAGATAATCAGGGCTAGAAACAAAAGACAGCATTCAAATCATCTGAGGGGGCTCCAGAAGGGCTGAGCAAGATTTAAGTAGCATCGGGAAAGAAAAGCAGGCAGCGGAGGCTGTCGGCAGTCTATTTCTGGTCCCTTCCTTCCTGCCCTCCCTTGGAAGGGGGTGGAAAGAGCCGGTGAACCGGCGCTACAGCCCCTGCCCCCGGGGAGCAGCCCCCCGCCGCCCTGCCCGGGAGCGCGGCCCCCCGCCGCCTCGGGAGGCTTCAGCAGCAGCGCCTGGCTCCTCGCTCCGCTTCCCCCAGCTCTGCCCCCTAAGGGGGGAAAGTAAAAAAACACAGTAAATAAGTGCAAGCGCTGGGGGTTTTGTTCTCTTTTTTTTTTTAAGCTGGTGTGCTTTAGCTCCTGCTGACTTATTTTACAACCTCAGGGACTTCCAAACCAGCGGAGCGCACGGCGCCAATTCCAGCTCTACTTTTGCAGCCTTAATGGCATTTCCAGCTCGAGAAAGTGAATCCCCGCAGTTCGCCGCTCCTCTCTTGCGGCTCATCCCGCTATTGCTCGGCTCGCGCCGCCGCTGCCAGCCTCTTCTCCCCCACAGCTTTCGGCAGAATCACGTCGCGGGGCCCC